TTTTGAAAATCCTGGAACCAAGGACATATGTTCTCGGTGGGCTTCAGCCATCTGGCAACCCTAGTGTACATACTTGAATTTTGAAAATAGATATTAGAGTTGAAAACTATTGAAATAAATTAAAATTAATAATTAGAAAGAGCATTTAAAAAAGAAAATATGTAATTAGTTAAATAAAATCTGTAGAAATATGTAGTACGATCAGAAAACGGTGTTTTTGTTCGTCCCATACGTTTGTGAAGGGCCAAATTAAATTACCGATAGGGGTTGTATGCGACTCCGTGTGTGCGTTTCATCAGCCGTTATAGCTTGATGACATAATAATTCATCTTGATAAAATTATCGGTACGACGCCATCCTTTCGTAAATAGATCATTTCGCCATTTTGTGGTGCTGACATTTTATCAATAACTGCATGCACTTCCTAGAAATATGATCGGTTACTTAGTTAAAACCAATAAATCACTTTACATACTGCAACACTATTATTGAAAGATTGGATTTTGCGTCATCATCGACATAGTCTGTACGAGTCAATCCAAAACTTAATGGCAATTGCACCTTGCAATACGCGATATTACCAAATACAGAAATTTGTGTTCTTTGATTCTTACTGTCAGGCTTCCACCGCTTTGCTTCGAACGCATAAATCGTTTTTATGTTGCCTTTCTGTTGTTATCAAAAATTATTGTTTCTTTGTGATTTATTTATTTACTTTTTATATGTACTTAAATAATAATTAATAACTTTCTTGGATTTTAAGGAAAGATCATCTCAGTTATTATTTCGCGAGATATTTTCGAGCCGAAAAAATGTTATTCGTCACATGACTGTGGATGGTATGTAACGTGTAACTTGTACGAAAATAAAAATGAAAACATCTTTCGAAAAGCACATAATCATCGATCAGCACGACGATACGTATCGCTTTTTCCAACTCGTCATCGACGGGATAATAAAATTTTATTGAATAAATGCATCAAGTCGTCGATGATTGGTAGGGACGAAGCTGTCCGACATTTTTCACTGTAGACTTATAAATAATACACGTATATAATATACCGGTATTTACATATGTACTGAGAAATAATGAGATTTTCAATCGTGAATCAGAGACTTTGGTTTCCATTAACATAGGATTTGAAGATTTGACCCTTTCAAATGCATACCTATTATAAATATGTACAAGGTAAATTTAGCAAGATGAAAATACTCTGGTTGTTTCACTACTACTACTACAACAGATTATTTATTATTATCATCATAAGGTCGTCAGTCCTAAGATTGATTGGACACGCACCTCCACTCATTCCTATCCTGGGCTAATCTTCGCATTTCCCTAAAACTGAACAATCCAAATCCTTAACTATTTACGTATAGCTAATCTAGGTCTACCTCTACCCCTCCTAACTCCCCTTTCTGTCTCTAATATGTCTCTATCTAGACCTTTATGCCTGAGAAGATGTCCTACTAAGCTATCTCGCTTATTGACTTCCATAGAGCCCTGTGTTCTCCTATTCTTTCTAATACCTCTTCATTTCTAACCTTCTCTATCCACGGTATCCTCATCATTTGCCTAAAACACCACATTTCGAACGCTTCTAACCTTCTCTTTTCCACCGCGCCCACCGTCCATGTACCCGTACAGCGCCGTGCTCCAAACATACGTACATCATTAACAATCTTTTTCGAATTTCTAAATTAACCGTTCGCGAGCATAGAAGTGACTTCTTTTTATTACAGATTATTATATTCGAAATATGATAGGTGTAAGGCACCGTATTGAAATTAAAATATCATTAACCTGTACCGTAATATAATCAATTAGGCATTCTATGGAGGTCTTCGGCTCGAGGGGCAGTTTTTACGCGGAACACGGGGAAATTCATTTTCTAAGGAGTAGTGAAAGCGATTTTTAAATAGGGCGGTAATGTTGCTCCTTCTTTCCTAAAATCAGGGAAAAGTATTGTACATTCAGCAGGGGTACCATCAACAATAATTTGCCAAAATAGTGAGTCTTAAATCTCATCATGGTAAAGGTCTAGATGATGGCCCCACCCCCAAAGGGGATGGGGTGAGGGGGATCGAAAAAGGAGGTCTCCCCGACCACTGTGCCATAAAAATTTCGTGGCGGTCTCACCCCCATAAAAAATTATGGGGGTTCAAAGTTAATAAATATGCCAATTTTTATACATTTCTAGGCATGTAAAAATTCATATAGTCATTCTTAAACAATATTCAAAGGTAAAACTAATGAAAAATACATAAAAATATTGAGAAAATTGTATAAAACATTATTTAAATATCATTATCAATAGGGTAGGTTAGGTTAGGATAACCTAAGTTATCGAGTTTTGTTCAAGTGACCACCCTCTTTCGATCCCCCACCTCCACCCGCTTGAAAATAATTTTTTTATTGAATTTTATTTGAATTATAGTGTGAAAATTGTCAAAATAATCTACTTTCAACCCCCATAACGTTTTATGTGGGTGAGACCGCCGCAAATTTTTAATGAGGTTTTACTCAGGTGACCACCCTCTTTCGATCCCCCCGAACCCCATCCCCTTGGGGGGTGGAGGCCATCTTCTAACCCCCATAACTTTTTATGGGGGTGAGACCGCCACGAACTTTTTATGGTGCAGTGGTGGGGGAGACCTCCTCTTTCGATCCCACCATCCCCCACCCTCGAATGGTGTGGGGGCCATCATCTAGACATTTACCCTCATCATTTATGTCACCGATCTTGTAGTTTACATTCATCTGCTTGTTTTTATTTGTGCAATGGTACAGAACGAGCAGAGGTTATAATTTTTTGCAACTCGCTGTTTGTTGACGATACACCCCGTATAGCTCGTTCGCCGTCCATACGGAATCCACCTGAAATTAATTCAAGCATTCGTTGTACGCTTTTACAGTGTTTATTCGTTTTAATTATCATAAATCACGTTATTTACGGCGATGAAATTCACTATAAACAAATCCGAAATGTCCCCGAAAACGATTGCCGTCTCGCCAGGCCAGTTTTCAATAAATATTATTGGTCGGCGTCCGTTGAAGAGATCGTGACATAAATGAAGACCAACTTAAGAAACGTTCGACTGCTTTATGAACACGTCAGAAAATTAACACCAGAGCCAAGTCTCCAGTGGCGCACCCATACCTGTATATATGTATACCTACCGATTCACGATAAATCTTCTGTTCTTGAATTAAATGTAAATTAAAGAGAGAAAAAAAGCTACAGACTAATAACCCGGTTTAGCTCTGACAACTCGATCGAAATAATGTTAGGAAAATATGATGATCAGCAAACTGTCAAGACGAAAAACTCAGTAAAGACGTGGGAAGATTTTTTTTTCTTTTTTATGCTCGATACACAGCTGAATTACGACAAATAAATAACTATTTCCAAAAAATCTTAACGCAAAGATTTCCGACTTCAGTATAGGGTCCGATTCGGATCAGGATTGTCTGAAGACTGAACAGATATATAAATCAAGCTTCCTAATCCGGATATGATTAAATATCATCACGCAATATATGATCCGCACAGGACATGTCTAAAAGATCTATACTGGATCCGTTTTATAGATCCATGCGGGATCCATTTCAAAGATCCATGTCCAATTCATTCAACAGATCCGTTCCCGATCCTACCGATCCATGTCAAGTCCGTTTAAAGGAGCAGTATTAATTTTATTTTTACATATTCATCATCATAAGGAGTGGCTGGACACGCACCTCCACTCTTTCCTATCCTGAGCTAATTTCTGCATTTCCCCAAAACAGTAATCTAATCTAGGTCTGCATCTACTCCTCTTAACTTCTGTTTCTGCCTCTAATATGTCTCTGACTAGACCTTCATGTCTGAGAAGATGTCCTACTAACCCATCTCGCCTATTTCTTATTGACTTCCATGGAGTCCACTGTTCTCTTATTCATCCTAATACCTCTTCATTTCTAACCTTCTCTACCCACGGTATCCTCATCATTCGCCTGTAAAACCACATTACATACACCGCGCCCACCGTCCATATTTTGCCACACGCTCAAAACATACACCTTTAACAATCTTTTTCGAATTTATAAATTAACCGTACGCGAGCATAGAAGTGACTTATTTTTATTGAAAGGTACTACTCGATCCTGCGCTACCCTCTGCTTTGTATCCCTACTCGTCCTGACTTATCTGACTTCCTAGATACCTAAAATCAGCCACTTCTTCTAATTTTTCATCTCCTATCTTTATATTCGCTCTTTCCCTACTTTTTCTTCCATTACATAGCAGTATTTTTGTTTTACTTTTATTGATATCAAAATAATAATTTAGTTATAGCATTAATAATAAATTTATTGTTTGATAAGTAATATTATATCAGAATGGATCAGATAAAAAACTAAATTCTGTATTATGATCCAGTTCAGGACATCAAATACAATCTTGCTTTAAACAACGTACGGAAACCGTAATAAGATTCGTACTTAGTATTAGATTCTGATAAGGAACTGATCAGGTGACTGCATCAAAGGATAGACTACTAAACTTTAATCGGAAACTGATTAAATAGCCAGATCAAGGGAAAGGATACTGTATGCTAATTAGTATCTGATCGGGTGACTATACCAACGGAAGGAGTAATGTATCTGATCAAGAACTGATCAGATGGCCGTATTACTGAAATATTATCTGTATCTGGATAATCTGGGTTCCCTAAACTAATTTCCAATCGGGTTGAAAAGTGTCTCCATTAATTTTAAGGTTTCCTTTAAGAAAATCATAAAGTGAAAAATACTGCAATTTATAAATTGCCAAATTGTTTAGGGACTCAATATTACAATTTTCATGTTTGTAATTTCTTGTACTGAAATTACTTTTGGAAAAAAATAAAATTTCGTACGTAACAAATAACTTTAAATAAAGACATTTTTGAAATCAATAATCAATAACAAAATTTGTAAGTACATACATAAATATGCCATTCGTTTTCTGTTTTATTAGGTCCATTCTCCAGCAGCACATGACTCGTCACACGGGAAAGTTGTACAGATGTCCCCGAGAAAACTGTGTCTTTTCAGCACGGACTCCGGGAGAATTAAAACCCCATTTAGTAACGCACGAAGAGAAAAAACCTTTCAGTTGCGAATTGTGCGATTACAAGGGAAAAACGAAGCAACAGTTACTTAGGTATGTTGATAATATATATGTAGTCAAATAATAGTTGTATAAGAGTTAAGTGTGTAATAACGTAAAAGTATTTTTAAATATGGCGAACTTCCGGTTATACCGGAAATGCACAGTGTTTTAAATGGAATCCCCTACTTTCTATTGCATTTTTGAATTCACCATAAAAAACAATGTCAGTTTATTAAAATCTATTGGACCTGGGTCGCACCGTTCTGGAGTTATTTCACGTTTCTTGGAAAACTTGACCTTTGTAGTGTTTGGTGCCGTTTTAAATAAGTCAAAACGAAAGCAGTTGGAGGGTTGCGGTTTTGATATTCCGTTTCTAAAAGAAATTGCCTATCATCTGTGGGTATTAGATAGATACGAACATTATACATAGTATGGTATTGGCAGATTTTTTGATAGCTTAACAAGATTTAGGCCAAGTTTCAACATCTCTTTCAAACCGCTATTATTATCTGATAAAACTTAATACTTATTAGAGCCATTAGAGGTGAGTTTTCATGTTTTAAGACAGTTTTTATTTGTTAAAAATGTAACAACTATCGGGAACGGAGTATACATTGGTCGGTTTCTATAAAATTCACCACGATTCTCGTTATTTCACGAACAAACGGTGAAATAGTCGTGTTAGCCGTCATGTAGATACCTATGTGGCGTTTCAAATGCTACGATGTTTTTGTTTTTCCAAATGGCTCCTGTACATTCAATGCAGGGGCGTAATAAATTGGCTTGTTCCAATTATTTGCGGGAACCCCCCATTGTTTACAACACACCTCTTACTGACCCATCGTTTACATAAATTTCATGCATTTTGTTGGTCAGTGATACAGGGACGTATTCAGTGTTTTTTCGTATGGGCCAAAGGTTGATCACATCATTTTAGATTTTAAATTGTATAAAAAAAGGAGAGAGGGCTTCATAGGATTTGTACATTTAGAAAAAGCTTTTGACAATGTTAAATAGGACAAGATGTTAAAAATACTTAAAAATGTAGGGATGAGTTACAAAGATAGAAGAGTAATAGTTAGTTTGTATAAAGAGCAACAGGCAGTTATAGAGATGGGGCAGCAACGTAAAAAGAAGTAAATATTAGGAAGGGAGTCAGACAGGGATGCACACTGTCACCGCTACTTTTTAATCTATACATCGAAGACGCGATCAACATCATTAAAGACAGTACAACTGTAGGGATAGATATACAGAGGCAAACGATTAGTATGCTTAGATTTTCAGGTGATATAGCAGTATTAGCATCATCGTATTAATAAGAGTAGGAGAACAAAGTCAATAAGAAATAGGCGAGATAGGTTAGTAGGACACCTTCTCAGGTATGAAGGTCTAGTCAGAGACATATTAGAGGCAGAAACGGAAGTTAGGAGGGGTAGAGGTAGACCTAGATTAGATTACTGTTCGCAGATAGTTAAGGATGTGGGTTGTTGTAGTTTTAAAGAAATGCGAAGATTAGCTCAGGATAGGAAAGAGTGGAGGTACATGTCCAACCAGTCTTAGGACTGACGACCTTGTGATGATGATGTAACCCAAGTCGTCCCAAATACCATAAATTCCGCAAACATGAGAATGTAAAACCACTATTAGTATATACAGTGGATTTCGGGCATAATGACGACGAAAGCACCACTGTAATTTCGTCGTTATATCCGAAAGTCGTTGCAAGCAGAGGTAAAGCGATATAGAGATATATGGATTTTGTACTAAAGTATGCTTTAAATTCAAGAGACTTACATTTAACGTCGTAATTTTTGTGTGATCTTTCCGAAAATTTGTTTTAAACAAAAAATTTCAGTTAATTTTTGACATTATGAATAATGCCTGATATATTAGTCTTTAAATATTAAACTCCAATCTTTTCCTACCACCGTTTTTTGAAAACTTTTAATAGCAATTTCGGTCTTATTTGATCACTTCAGCACGTCTTATAGTTTTAATAATTCAGTGGATACCTTAGTAAAAGGCCCTTGTCTAACATTTGAAATTCCTACTTCAGTTAACAGCAAATATCAGTAGGTAGATGGCAGTCTCGAAATTAGAAAAAGTTTGTGTTTGTTCTGAGTTGCTAGTTTCGCAAAGAAACATAGTTGCATTGCTTTGTTTTTCGTTTTTATCGCTTTATTCATTACCCACGCCACTGCTTTTAATGATACCATTGTACTTGGAGTAGTACCTACCTCGAGAATAAGGACCAACGTTCAGGATACGTAGCTAAACTACTGCCTCTGTAGATATGTACGATATATGTATACACATACACACCTATCTGCCCAATAATACATTAAGACCATTTTCGGAAAGCTGGAGTCTGATACCAGCCCAGCGTACGGTCGTCGCGTCACTTGCCGATAAAGTGCAAAAGACGAAGACGGCGACGATCTGCGACGTTTCGTCCGATTTCCGAGCAGATAAGCATTAATTACACGAGGCGGTGGCCGGTGCTCCGCGGCTGTCAATTAGCCGCACACACCGTAGTGTTTGTTTAATTTATCTGGTCAAGAGCGTTTGTGAGCGCTGAGTTATTGTAGGTGGCTGGGTTTCGCATAGGGACCGGTACGGTGACGGCGAGTGGCTCCGTACCGGTACGACCGTGGTACCTACTGCGGGCCATTTCTATTCGCGAAATATGGGATTGAAAACATGTATATTATTTTATTGTTAAATATACGAAATAATCAACGTTTTTAGCGAAATAATTAATCTTATCAGATAATTGTAGTTACTTGATACAATGTTTATCATTACCATAAGGTCGTTAATAGTATGACTGGTTCGACACGCACTTCCACTCCTTCCGATCCCAAGCTAATCTTCGTATTTTTCTAAAACTATAGAACATCCCGCATCCTTAACTATTTGTGAACAATACTCTAATCTAGATCTACCTCTACCTACTACTCTTAACACCTATTTCTACTCCTAACTAGCCCTTCACGTCTGAGACGATGTCCTACCAACCTATAGCGCCCATATCTCTGTTCTTCTACATGCTGTTTCTAATACCTTGTCATTTCTAACCTTCTCTATCCACGGTATATCCTAAACATTCGCATGTAGTAATTAATTTTTAAGTTTAACATCTTGTCCCATTTAACAATGCCAAAAGCTTTTGTTGTTTTAGTATTTACGAGTGTAACCCATCTAGATCTGTTGCCTTACAATTCTTTAAGTTTTTTAATGCTGAATCAAACTCTTCCTTCATTATGGAGTATCCTAGAGCTCACCCATCTCCACACTATCTTCATTCTCTAATGCATTTCCTAACTCTTAAAATGCGTTTCTGTAAATATTTTTTCCACTTATCTTCATTTTCTATGCGATGTTAAATAAAATATTTTTTTGCAACCATATCACAGCAGCCAATTAATTAATTAATTAACAATTTTTAATAATAAACTATTATTAGAAGTCTTTAATTTGTTCTTGTTGGAATAAAGGTTTTAGCATCATCTTATTGCAGAAATTAACAAAGTGCCAATTAAATTTTGAAGTGTCTATTTTCAGTAGACTTTCTATTTATTCAGCGAGTTTAGAGCATTCAGTTCGAACGGCGTTTAATACATAATTGACATTCTAAAGTAATTATCGGCTTGCTTACTTACTATCTACATGTTGTTACTTGTTTATGCTTATAGACATCTAACTCTGCACGACTCGCACAAGAAATTCCACTGTTCGCAGTGTTCTTTTTCGACTCGATTTGCATCTCACCTGAGGAGACACCTGAGACTTCATACCGGCGCCAAACCGTTCACGTGTCCACATTGCGAATACAAATGCAACACTTTGGTAAGTTTCTGTTTTAATTATTTGGGTACGGAGGGTGATTGATTGTATAGGTAAATGGGTGATTTCAAATTTAAATATAACTTCGTGGTTTCTAATCATATCTCACATCAAACCATAAACTGATCCTAAATCGTTCAAAACAATACTCTCTTTTACGTGTAATTGATAATTAATTGAATGTAAGCAATTGGACATGGTTAATTTAAGCAGTCCAGTGACGAAAAAGTTGGACGACTGAGAACTAAAGAAGTAAATTGTTCTCTTGTTTTTTGAGTAAGACGTGTTTCTAATGGTGCCCCCTTATATCGCCTTAGGCCTTACGCGTACTTATACATTAAAAAAATCAAACTTAGTAAATATAAATCTAAAGTGAAATGTAGAATAGTTTTACTAAGCGAGTACTTTTAAATTAAGTTTATTTATTTCTTATTAGTACTAAGCATCGCTAAATTTTCTAAAATTTGGTGAAAACCGCACCTAAATCGGTTAACAAATAATCGAGTTATCATTTTTTAAAGTTTTCTTGCTTTAATTTTAATAAGTGGCGCCTAGTATTGTTTACATCACATATCTTTAAGTGCAGGTGCACCGAATTTGACCTACATATTAACCGATTGCAAATGGTCGCCGAAGTAAGAGCCAATCAGGTGCATCTATTTGCATGGAGTCGGTTTATTACTATTAAACGCGCTTACGTAAGTTAGTCACCCTCGATGCTTTGAAGGATGTACTTCGATGCAACAAACTTTAGATTATAATTACGTAAAAAATCTACAGTATTTGTTTTTCTCGTTAAAATTCACTGCTTGTTATTAATAACAATTTCAACCATTAATAGAGCATCAATGAATACGTAAATTGGTTTAAATATGATTGGGTTATAAATTATTATCTTTATAATGAACATATATCTAATTATCAATGATTTTTAAAAAGGTTCGTACATTTTAGTACATATACACGATACACAATTTGTCTAATAAAGTTACGATGTTTGAACTTACTTCCTTGCGAAATATTGTTGAATAAATTTAGGATTGAATAATTTCTTTAAATATAATGTATCGCATTTCATGTATGGATACGTTGTAATACTTATTCACTGAATAACTAACTCTCGTAGTAGTGTAGATTTTTCTAATAATTGTTTTTTTATGGATAATTTTAGGAAAATCTACGAAGACATATCCTGTCAACAACCAAACACGCTGGGAAATATATATACGAGTGTAGATTTTGCAACATTTTTCAGACAAATTTTGCAAAGGATTACAAGGTTCATCTAGTCAGCGCACATTCCGATAAATTTGTTTCGACAAATGAAGCTATCACATACATTGCGGGTATTTATCAATCGGAAAATGACACATCATCGTTTCACGTCGTTTTGGACGACCCAAAGGGCCAGGGGTAAATAAATATTTTATTTGATAAATCTATATTTTCCTGTTTTAAAGACAGTGGCGGGAATAAGTATTTTTTGGGAACTTCTTCGCGCCGCCACTGTTAAAACAGTGCCAATTATTTTAGATCAAAAGCGACCTGTATCGCTCTCTGCAATGCAGTAGACGAACTATTAGAGACAGAAGAAAAGATTAAGATTTCTGTACCAACTCGAATCATAAACTTCAAATTTAAATAAGTTCTTACTACGTTCTTAAAATTCAAAATTTCCGTAAAAGTAACACAATCTCATTATTACTTAGCTATTTTGAAATTCATTTACGTCAAAATTATTTCACCCAAGTTTGCGCCAGTTTACAAGTGAAAAAAAAAACAAATTTATTATATTTTTATGATTAATTTTTAAATCAAAAAGTATTGAATAAAGCTTATTACTCATTGCAGATGCATGTAGTACGAGTAGTTAACGCTTGGTTTCATTAGAATAGTTTTTTGCCTTCTTTAAACGTTATCAAAAATAACTTATGATTTTTACAGCTCTGCTGAGAAAGAATCCCTTCAAGAAAGTACGCAATCAGTTTCACAACAAACTTGTGGAACCAACGATTTGGGACCTGCTATACTTTTAACATCAGTGTCTGGACAAGATGCGAATGAGCATAAAATTCAAGATGAACTTTTTTCCATGTTTATTGTATCCAAGGACGTCGTAAGGGTTGAAAATATGACTGAATCATGGATAATGGAAGAAAATTATGACGTCGAAGAAGCCGGCGTTTTAATACCTTTCCAATCAGAAGGAGACTCGTTATTTAACGAACATTTTTAATTTTATTAGATAATTAGGAACTAAGTTGAATTGCATTCTTTTTGTAAGTCGTGCTTACATACAATAGGACAATATTTTTAGGATAAGTAAATATATTAATCTTTTTATAATGTATTAAATTTAAACACCCTTAATTAATTTATTTTATTTATTTGTAAACCCTATAAAAATTACTAATACAACAGTACAATTTCTAATACTGACATCATGCAATCAGTACTAATAAAAAGTCTTTACGGACAGTGCTGATCATACTAAAAATCAATATCCATTAAAAATATATCATTACTAAACGCATTACTATCTTCTCCATTCTTATCTCTTTTATCACTGGAATTACTTTCGTTTTCACTTAGACCTGTGCCTTCTGATGAACTCTCGTTTTCGTTAGAACCAATTTGATCTTTCTTCTCCTCGTTTTCTGATAATTCACTTTCGCTATGTTTCTTTTCGTGAGCTCGTTTTTTCGCCTTTGCCTTGCGCTGGTTCTTTCTTCTTTGCCCCAATATACTCGAATTTGATCTAAAAAACGAAAAAATTAGTAATTAGTATAATAATAGAACTAAGATCAAATTTTTATACAGTAAGACAGGGAATCTCTGCCCTAAGGTAAAAGTGAGATAATTTAAGGTTTAGACACCCTTTCAGGGGCTCTCATGGAATTACTAATTATGATCTTACAACTCGTTTCTGATGTATAAAATTTGAATTGTATTTTTAATCATTTACTGACCTAAATACTTGTTTTGATACTACATCATTGAACCTGACAGTCTTCTTAAGACTGGTAGACACCTGCTGATGTTCTTCCGGGATGGCCGAATCTATGCTGTGACAATTTTCGACTGAGGAAGTCAACATCACTTCGTCGATGCTGGACTCGGACATGCTCCTGCTGAAAGAGCGTCGAACGAGGTTCTTCAGGATTCCTTTGTTATAAGGGCTGTAACTATAACTAAGTTCGTCTCCACTGGACTCACAAAATCCTGCAATATCAATAGCCTTGCTCGGCATGTTGTCACTAACATCACCGTCCGTCATCCTCTGTTTCCTCTGATTTTTCCAATTAGACTGCTTTCCTTTGGATTTACTCTTTTTCCTCTCCTTTCTTAATTCGCCAGAACTCTCATCTTCTGACTGGTCAGTACTCACCAGCAAGGATGGTTTTGGATTTGTTGGTGCATCATAGTCATCACTGTCCTTTTTCTCCTGACCAGCAAATTTACTTGTAGAACATACATTGTTATCTAGATAATGTTCAGTGAGGTTGTTGCTGTCAGTTCCCACAAGGAAGGACTCAATAAATTTATCACAATGTTTAACTGGAATTTGTACTTCAACATTGTTATCCCAGACTTCAGTGACAATAGTTTCAAAGTCAATTACAGCATCTATCGGTCTGAAATAAAATGCATAGTGTAAAGGAAAAAATCCTGAGCTTACTGACGTGAATTTTAAATGAACTGCTTTCAGGTCGTTCTGGAAAGTCTTAATGAGTGACGAATCGGTAACGTTCTTAACATTTAATGTAAAAGCGAACGTGTCATCAAAAAGATGAACAGTGAAGTCTGGCAGGAGGTATGAAATACTGGGATCTAAAAAGACATTTTCCAAAGACATCTCTTCTTTATTTAAATCATTATTAGTCTGTTCACTATCACTTATTTGAGTACCATCGTTCATTTCTGTAACTAATCGTTCATTTTCTTCTGCTGGACTCGATGACACAAAGGAGGCATGATCGCTTTCTATCCCACTGTCTTCACGACAAATTTCCGTAAACGTTACCCCCGAATTCCTTTTCACTGGTAATGTGACTATTAGTTTCTTTTTGTCTTTCTCAAACTTTGCATTTCCCAAACTTTCTACAACTTCATAAGGTAAATTTAAATCTAATTTGTACTTTGCTGGTTTTTCACTTATTAATTGAAGACTTTTTTCGTTAACATCTAGAACAACATCAGAAGCTGATTTCAACAGTGGAAGAATAATTTCTACCACAAGTTCTTTGGGTATTGCAGAGTTCATTTTTGCTGTCTTGTGTTCTATAAATTGTTCTAATTCTATGTGGCTACGGTGCTTAATATTATATTTTGGGATTGTATACTTGGACTGATTTTGTAAATTATTATTAGGAATATTAATGGTTTTCGGTTTTGTTTCTGCTGAAGGGGGTTTATATGGACAACCCCCGTCAGAAAACAATTTATCCATAAATTCCCTGTCTTCTGGATTAACGGATGATGAATTAGAAGGTTTCCTCATAACAGCAGAATAGGGCCTGCCTTTGTACTGCATTTTAGGAAATTTTAAATTCTTTCTATCTAACTTAACATTAAAATTTGACTCGATTGTCTCACAAGCCATATTATTTAGCATATCTTTAAATGTTTTGGTTTTCTGGGCTAATTCTAATGTACTGGGATGACAGACAAAATCATAAACTTTACATAGTTTTCCCTGTTTGTCGACGTCGTCTCGTGGGGGTGTTAAGGAATGGGGTACCTGCCACTGATATCCTCTAGAACCATCTTCAACTGAAGGATTTGAAGTTGGCTTTTTAATTAAATCATTGGAGCATATATTAACGAATACTTTTTTCTCGCCATCAGCACTTGTTTTCAACACATAACCGGCATTAGGTTTTAAAAATGTAACGTCAACACCTCGTTGTTTCTCCAATTCGATGATTTCTTGTTCGTAAATTCTCTGATTTTCGGGGCTCTGCACTTCTTCCACATAATCTATAAGCATTTTCCTAAATTCCTTATTTTTCAGGGCATCTCCAAACTTTTCAACTTCTTCCTTGGTCAACTGAAGGCTTTTTAAAGACTCTGTTATATTAGCCATTACCGCCGAATAACAATAACACAGGCACTATCCGTTACGCAAGAGTTTTTATAAATAAAATATACTGCGCAGTAAAATGATAAGAAAAGTTTAAAATACTATTATTAATATTATAATTAATCTTGAGCTTTCCGGCACGTCAGGAAAATAAACAGACGTCCCACGTAATTGACAAGTCGTTCTGGATTTTTCCACAGTTTACGTAGATATGATCAGCTGTTAATTGTCAAAAATATGCCGCACGTTTACCTGTAGTTTTTACCGGTAATATTAATTGGTAAGAAATTATTTTTGATAATAAATTAACGAGTTTGCACACTCTTCAAGGGCACAAATATTTAGTAAACATTGATGTCTACTTATACAGAAATAAAACTATAAAAGCATTTTTAAGTCAGTCAAAATCCTTTTTTACCTTTCTGTTTATTTAATTATTTAGAAACTATTATCTCCTCGTTTTCTGATAATTANAATGAAAAAATATTTACATTCCTATCTAAATTAATTTTAATATATTTCAGGATCACTCAAAAAATCAGCAGAACAATGGACATGTGGCTACTTTCTACCCTACATTTATTGGAAATTTTAAATTTTTACTTGCCTTCCAGTGATTCAGTGTATAATATTGTATTCTTATTACCCATTAATTAATATTCAATAAAATTTTGAACTAAACGTCTGTTTTATTTGTTACTAAACTACAAAAATTAAAATAATTAAAGTATAAATAATGCAGAAAACTAAAGAACTGTAATAAAAAGAAATAAGAAAAATAAAATATATATTACAAAATCTTTATATTATATAAATACGAAATGATTGCAGAATACACATAAAAAGTAAAATAACATATAAAAACGGTAAAATTAAAAAATTGTTGGTATTAAATAGATAATAATCGTGATAAGAAACTGTTCTAAAGCCGTTTTTTAATGTACAATATATTAAATGCTTTAAATGTTATTTTCAATTTTGGTGAAGGCGCCGGACACGGCTAAATATTGAAACTTGCGATTTCAGTGTAAAGTTAAAATTTCGGATTTTTGTATTAGGATAGCATAAGTCAAGAAAGGTATCCCCCATTAGGGTTTTTTCAATCTAGAGGTTGGTTTCGAAAATTAAGTTGGCTCTACTGTTGATGTTATGACAATTAATAAATGTAAACAAACAAGAGAAGACGAAGGCAATTATAAAGTATTTAAATAATTTGTTTGCAGAGTTAAAATTTATACTAAAAGAAAGAGTCGAATTTTCTGATTTTGGTGATGAATTTGCTTCTCAATTGATTCTTTAGTTAGTTTGCAGTGGTGTGTTTCATATTTAGAGGTTATATTATCTACATGAATTGAAAACAAAATTAAAAAGGAACGTGTGCCGACTATAATTATGCTTGAAATGTATTATCTGGTGCCTAGAGATGTGTTGGTTTTATGTGTTATGTCCTGTTCGTTAGCGTTATATAGCATTTGAGATGTATACTGTAAATATTCAGATAAGAAATTATAGTGCTACTTTTTCAGTAATAGTACAAATACAACTAGTAAAACTTATCTTTGCTGCTATTACTATGTGATTTTTTTACTTACTTGATGTAACAAAGTTAGTACTTGTAGATGTTTAACTCTTCCAGGTCTCCATTTTACATTGAAAAAGCGTAAGTTGAATATCCTTAATTGTAGCAATCAGAGTGCAGATGTTTTCTAATTATGTGTGTGATTGTGTACAGAATGCCAAAAGTTAAGATACATTTCTTGCAAATGTTTAATAAAACATTTATTATGAGTGTGTAAGTTTGTAAACGCATTTATGATTGCCTTGTAGTAGTGAAGTTGACATAGCAACAAAATGTTCTTTTATGGAAATCTGTTAAAGGATAACTAATTAAAATTAATACAATTTTATAGTAACACGGAAAGTAAATACATTTGAAAAGGCTGCAACAACATATAGAAAGAACCCAATTTCTAAAAAAGGTCTAAAATGTCTTAATACCAAATCGATTAGGATTTAACATTTTATAACTCCATGTCAACAAAACAACAACAAATGCAATCTGAATTTATAAAACTTTTATTGTAAAAAAATGTCCACATTTTGCTACATAGACTCCTGCAAGTGGAAAAATAATATTGATATCATATTTTGTATCTAAATATTGTTTGTTGTTGTATTGTCGTAAATCTTATTTATATATAAAACTTAAATAGCTTACATTTTAGAAAGACAAAAAAACAACAAAAACTTTAAAAGGCTTATTAATTAAATACATTACAAGATATACTGCAATAAACATAACAAAATAAAATCACAAAACAAAAGAAATTGAACATTTATGATTAACAAGCATTAATTAACATAGTTCTAACAAATATTGTTTGATTATTAAATTAAGATAACATATAAACGCTGGTGTTTTCTTTTTTCTTTTTAATAATTTTTCATTTAAAACATGCAGTAAATAATATCCAAACATAACGATAAACATCCATTTCAATTTTACTTATTCATATAAAAACAAAGTAAATATTGATATATGAAATTAATAAATTTTAAACAGAGCTGAGCAAAAACTTTAGTGCTTTGTGCTTTAGATCTTTTTAGGGTTTAAAAGCACTGTCTTCAAGCCCTTTCGTGAACAAGTAGTTGGAGTTTGATTGACAAATGACTTTATAAAAGTGATTTGTAATTTGTATTTAAATTCTATTTATAAAAAAAGAATTAATTGAATCATGGATATTAAAATGCTGTATCACATGCACTCGGTGGCTGATTCCAAAAATATTGACCAAGCATGTGTATTTTCTAGTTATAACAATCTTTCTTCCCCACTATATCGTAATACTAAAAACTATTATGTATTTTATTGCAAATTAATGTTTTAAAATAAAAAAAAATAGACACGAAAATGGATAACTATTACCATTTATGGACATTAGAGCCGGTAATTCAATGTTGGAAAAGCTGGACGGTGTGCACCGTCCATTTCAGGAGCTAATCGATTGGAACGGAGAAGTTGATGACTAGAACCCCCTATTTGTTCTCCACATTCTGGACACTTACTCACTTCCATAGCTCCACCACATTCGCCGATGGCATACGGATGCCCATTAGGACATGCGAACCAATGCCCCTGTCTCATTTGCATAGCGGTAATTATTTGACGTTTTTCTTCATCTGTTATAACGGTTGCTCCGTTTATCGCTTTATTGAGTAACTGTAAAGATTCTTTGGATTTATTATCACAATTATCAGACCATCTTTTACAAATAAACACATTATTATGGGCGGATTTAAAGGCACTTTGAACGTTAGCTAGTGATTTTGAATTTTTAAAATGAGTCGACTTCTCAATTTGAGCCAACTGTATAATTCGATTAAATCGCGTGATTTCTAAGTCAAAATCCAAACGAGTTTGATCAGACATGCGTTCAGCTTCGAATACTCTTTTAAATAGAAAGTATGCGTAATCGTCGTAAACACCTTCTAACATTATTTTGGCATCTGCTATCTTCTGCATTATTAGTTTGATTACATTTATTTTTGCCTCTATTGAATCTAATGACATAGCCGTTATGTTGTTTCGTCGACCTCGTCGATTAGGTAGTAAAGACTCTTCTAATTCTCGAAGAAGGTTTTCTTTAACCAACTGTCTTGTATCTAATATCAATAAAAAAAAAGCAATTAAGTTTTAAAACTACTTAAAGTTGTACACACATACAGATATAAATATAAATAATATTCAACACGATTGTTTATATTTAAATCTGTATG